TACTAAAATACGTTTAACAATGCTATGTTTAAGTGGTTTTGAACTATATTCTCGTTGGGTGCCCCTAAAGTATTTCCAGCAAAATATTCGGTTTGGAAAATCTCAGAATTTATGTGCCCCAAAAAATTAGTAGTTGCCTTAAAGTAAAAGAATCGGTTTTTACTATTGTTCTGACTGGTTGAACAATTGATCAGAGATTTCTTATCCAATTGTACGCTGGTGGAAGGTCTATTTCAAGTCCTCTATGACTGGTGTAGTTATAATTAAATTTCAATCCTGCTCGCCATAAAGCCTCCAGTAGCTCATTCGTTAGAGCGTCTGAACTAGAATTTGGAGAATCGTGAGTTCGATTCTCACACGGAGCTAGCAATTTTTTTCAGGGATTTTTGGTATTAGAAATATCCTTCTCCCAAAATACAAAACATCAAGTTAAACAGCGCGTGCCCAAGAAACTGATAATAGCATTACTTGCGTCACTCTATGGCGCAACGCTCTATGGCGCTTACTATAACCCAATCTTATGATGAACTGTCAGTTACTATCAAGTACCATCTATAGGTCTTACCACAGAGAAATGTGAGAGTGAAACTAAGCATCAAAGCAAACCAGAGCTTCACATTTCTTGCACGCTATGAAGAAAATATTTGAAATGCACATGTTATAGGCGGAAGATTCGAGAGAGTTTTTAGCGGAGCGCTACGCGTGCGCGAAGCGCGCACGAGCGTTGCCAAATAGCTAAGAAAATTTCCTTTTCTATCCATCCGAGAAAATTTGGTTATGACGTCAGCGTACGACCGAACGCTGACCGCACAGACTCTGGGGAAGGGGGAAGGGAATCAGGAGTGAGCCCTTCAGGGGAGAAGAGTATGTTATAACGTAGCCCCAGAAATGTTAATAGTAAGCTAGTGTGGATAATACCGCACATTCATGTTAAAGTCAAGTGACAGCTGTCATAACAGGGTATCCGCTGACCGGTATCACATGACCTTATTGCGGGCTCAAGTTTTGTCCTATTGCGTTTACGCGTCTTCCACTGACAAGTTTTTAGTTTTCAACTGATCGCAGGTTCAAGATTGTTTTTTTAACGCACACAGCACATGAAATAAATTGTGCTTATCAGCTAGCGACCGAACTTCGGACGCGAAAAGTCAGCCTTTTGTAACAGTAGGGAAGGCAGTTGCTATTGAGTTTTTCTCTTTATTGACTTTATTTAGGATGGTCACGCGTTGGTCACACTCTACGTCCCATTCGTATCCCAGATTGGTCAAAATTTGCAGGTGAGTTCATGTGGCATATATTATGAAGCTGGAAACTTGTTTACTAGTAGCTGAAGCTGACCGGGATTTCGTCGTATCTTTTCAAAGGTCTATATGTACAAAATCAAATACATCTGCTATCAAGAATCTTTTGTTATTCATGGCTGGCTGGTTTTTGGTTGAGAAATGCGCCGCTTGACAAAAAAGTAATCGGAAATCATCGTTTTCAAAAATAAGTTCCCCTTCGTACATACTTCACCTTGCTGAATGCGAAACATAATGACGGTTCAAAAGTCTAAAGCGATTTTGGTCTTACTTGGTGGCTTTCGAGAGCTGCATCTCGACTGATAAGTTTAAGTAATTTTTATTATATCTGACGTTTTTTTTGGGTGGGGGTGGGGGGGGTCATGAAGTCGAGCGTCGTTTATGCCGTCACTTTACACACGTTTGTAAGATTTCAGACAATGATCTGACCTAACACAAAACTTAAAAAGTCTTTAGACATTTTCTAACCGTGACTAGAAAGAAAACGTTCTGAAGAATATTTAGTTATCCTATTGGTCATAAAAAAGAAAGCTTTGAAAGCTATTCTTGCCTCGAGTTCATCTTGAAAAATAGCAAACTCGGCGAAGCCGGCTGAAAATACTTTAGCTTAATCAAAACTGCAAGGCTTTATTCATGACTCAGATTTTCAGGGACACGTCACTCTCAATTATACATGTTTTCGTCAAAAAAGAAATTGATGTCCTTTTAGCTGTTTCATTGAATTATACTTCTTGTCTTGATTTTGCGTCAAAGTCTCTTTTTAATCGCTTTTCCGGTTGTTGTTGTTTTCAGTCTTACTTGAATCGCATGCAGGACTGCAGGAGTACTCAAAATACCGCGTGTACATAGGCGTACGGGCCGGGGGGGCGAGGGGGCCTGCAGCCCCCCCAAAGTTTGGGCAACTCAGATTTTTTGGGCAGCAAGAGAAAACTTGGGCAAAGCCAGTTTTTAAAGACGTTTCCATGTTTTTTATTATTATTATATTTTAATAGTAATAATACGTTCACACGAGAGAGTGGTTGCCTAGCACGTGATGAGTTTCTGGTTATAAGGGAAGGGTATCATTTGCTGATTTCTTGTTGTTGTTGTTGTTGGGCACTGTACTTCACTGTACTAGCTGGAGTGGGCTATTTCCAGTCATGAATTGATTAGAATAAACTTCCGCATAACTTTCTAAAATCACCTCCGCTCCTAGAACAGTGTGTGGCAGAACACGCATCAGCAATCGGTCTGAAAGTGAAGTGGCTGACTAATTCTCAGTTTGAATTACGAGAAGAATCATAATTTTCTTGAAAAAATCTATCGAGGGTTTAAAAATTATTCACTAATTTGTTTAAGTAGACCGAAATGTTTACGAAACTCCTAACAAGATCGAGCGCTAATCAAATCCTTCCTTATTAGCAATTGGCAGGAGCTATCTCCATGATCTTTCATACACGTTTTTAATAAGATTGAAACTCCGTTTTCTAAACATCAAGACCAGGACCAGGATGATGAGATGACCAAGATGTTGCTTGGTACACCTAACACAGGTGTCAAGAAAAATGTGTCAAGTGCCACGCTTTCGTTAAGGCAATGATGTTCGCAGAACTTACAATAGGAGGCTGCAAAATTATATTCACTCTGACGAAGGACTAGTGTTCGAAACGATATATTTTCTACCTCCTTAGGATGCAAAAAGATTTTATAAACACAGTTAGTTGATGAAACTCAATTTTTGTTTCTCTCTTTCCCTGACACCACCCCCCAGCTGTTTGGTCTTTTTCATGCGAAAGCACACGCTTTTTGAACCAAAAATGGAATATTCAGAGAGAGTGAACGCACCTTTAAGGGCTCTTATTGCTTGCATTTTGAGCGCTCGAAAAACGACGTTGAAGGTTCCACGCCTGTTTATGCGCTTTTTCATACCGATTTCACATTTATTCCAAATGATCGATGCAATCACCCACAGAAAACGCTAAATCACCAGCGATATTGAAGCCATCGAAATAAATTTTGTTAGAATAAAAACTTGACTCTCACTTGATTTATTTATTCATGTTGTGGGGGGAATATTCAGATGACAGAAATTCGGGATATGTGAAACAAAGAAATAACCAGCTTAGGTAATTTTAAAGGCATTTTTTGTTTCTTTACGAGATGAAAAAGATTCATTGATATAACAAGACAAGACGGAATAACAGCAACCTTCAGAGAACAACTAAGAAGGAGAGGAAGAAAAAAAAGGTAGGATCACAAGATTTTTTGAACAAATTCTATTACGACGAGTGATACTTTAACTCTAAGCGGAAGTTGATGTATACATCTAGCAGGATTTTTGATAACGTTATCGCAAAATGGACCTTTTGCGTGCAACATTTTTTTTTTCCCTCAAAAACTATCTAGATATTATAAAAACTAAGGGTGCAACCAACGCTTTTTTTTCTCCTCCTTATTTTTCTCCTCCTCATCTCCCCTCGCTTCTCTTTTTCTCCTTTCCTTTTCCATCGTTAAAGTGATGTTGGACCTTATCGGGTTAAGAAACCTGCCTTTTAACTCCTTTTCGTCTTCTGACAAATTGTAAACCGCCCTTTGTTTATTCGCCACCATTTCCTGAGATGTAAGGGTAGCCTCCAAGCCTCCTCCTCTTTAACTGGAATTGTAATTTTCGAAGTACGTGACCTTTAAAACATGCTAGGGGAAAAGGCTGTCCTGTGTTTTACCCTGCTACGTTTTGAAATGAATAGACTGGAGTGTCTCTTCAAACGCATTAAGTAAGAGAAGAGTTAACAAGGATGAGAAGAGAAATTAGGTGAATTTTATCCCAAATACCCCAGGGCTCTATCGTCTTTTCTATTTAACAATAGATTGTTGCCTAGTTAACGCAGAGGAAAGATAGAGAATTTGATTCTCGATGACAAAATTATTTTATTAATTATCGATGTAGCCTGCGAAGCGCGGACGAATTTCCGGTCGTAGTTTCTCTCCCTTCGAAGGCTAGTTGAAAATAGCAGTAAATGGCTATTTATGATATAATCGTTTTCTACTAAACCCATTTTTCTTAGGCAGAACTGTAAAAAGGAAACCTATTTTCCGATGCTGCAGTGTTTAACACCCAATGTGGCCAAAATATTGGTCGCACTGGCTTTTCTTCTTCTGGCATCAGCAACAGACACTGGAGCAAACGGCGACTCCAAGTGGGCCAAAAAGCTGCTTGATGTCATCAAGGCAAGGGATGCTATGATGAAACCGTTTATCAGCCTCTCCGAAGAGATTACTACTCCTAATATGGAAAACGTCATCGCAACTTTACCGAAGGTTAGTTCCCAGATTAATGGACTGGATAATCTTAATATTAACACAGTTGAAAAGGAGCCTACGCTGGTGAAAAAACTGTTTGACCAACCGGAAGAACCAATGGTAAAAACACTGTTTAGAAGCAACACATTGGAATCTCACTACAAAGAACGTGGACTTGGATTCATGCTGAAAACATTCCGGGGTTTTCATTCACTTCGGTGCATCCAAGCGATAATCTCTGGTCAAAAGCTTGGGGAGGGCTACGATATTCCAATAGAAGCTATGTGTTCCCGATTAAAAGAAGATAGAATCGAAGAGGCCACAGATCATGTCCTTTCAACGGGTAAGGTCTGTCAAAGCGTGAAGCAGTGCTCTGGATACACAACGCCTTTTCCTTACGGAGACAATACCGACGGAACAGACATCAAAGTTGCTTGCACAGAAGATAACAAATGCGACGTGGGGAAAGCCCTCCCCTTAATGTCCGCCCTACTGTGGTATAAGATAAGCGAATTCATGGCAAGAAGCCTTTGCCATAATTCACTTCCTGAATTTAAAAAATCCTCCTTGACAACAAAATATGAAGAATGTAAGACAATGGCAACCCTGATGGTCTCCTACACCAGTACCTTGCATTGGAATGGTTTTTTTCGTGAGGCTGCAAGCCAAAGAGCTTACTCCAATCTAGAAACAGCTATGACTCTAATCAACAAACGAATAACCTCCATGGAGTTTACATCGCTGGCCTGTATAAAACTCGAAGCTACAGACATGTGCACTCTCGGAGACATTTACAAGTTATATGGCTCTCTGCTGAAATTGAAGAAAAACATATTAAGTCCTGGAATGACCAAAAACTTGCGCCAGTTTACAAAAGTAGATCACAGTAAAATGCTACAGCTAAAAACGAGCGCCTTGAAGCATCTAAACCTGTTGGGTGAAATAAGTTCTGTGGATGGAAACTTACAAACCTCTGTCAAAGGGATTTCCAAGTATGTCTATGGACTTGCCAAATTTGATGAAGATATTGCAAAAGCAGATGTTACCTTTATCTCGGACAAGCTTAGCGAGTTCAGGAAAAAATCAGACGAAATATCAAAGAAGGTAGAAAAAGACATCAAAAACGCCATGGCGGCGATGGTGACCGTACTTGCAGGTCAGCTGGTTGAAGAATCTGTTATTCTCTCATTGAAAATTGCAGAGCATACGAATCCGTTGAAAGTTATCTTTGGTGGTGTTGAGGTAGGCGATATCTATGAGCAGTTAGCTGAGGTGGCAAGAGCCGCCCAGGAACTTACACATGGCCTCAGCTGATCTTGCTAAGGACTTTAAGGACAACGCTAATCAGATTTCAAGTATGCAGACTCTTGTAAAGGCCATCGAGGCAAACAAGGTGGATGAAATTGGCTATGATGCAGACAAGTTCATAAAGGCTTATAGCGATTACACTCCAAAAGTAAACCGAGCACGCTTGGCTAAAAACGATGCGTTGTGGGCTACCTTCAAGAGTGAAACGTGTGATTTGTTATTTGGAGCGCAAGGTGCTGGGGCGGCTGTCGGACAGGGTGTTGTCGGAGGGATGTTGCTCTGTGAGAAGTTAGAAGGAACTCTGGCAGAATTTTCTGCCCTTAGGGAAAACGTTTTTGATTTTCAGTTCGACCTTGTTGATTCCCTAGCAGCTGTAATCCGTGGTAATGTTGGCAAAAAGCTATCAACATCAATTGACGTGTTGAATGACGTTCTTGAATCAAGCAAGCTTATGCTGGGATTTTTCATTACTCAGCATCGCCTCCAACACGAAGCCGCTGTTTACTGTGACAAAATTGAGTATAGGCTCCAAGGAAAAAGACTGGATGACTGTTCTCCATCTTCTGGATTTTTCTCTAAGGAAAATCTAGATAACATCATAAGTTTTGATTTGAAGAAAATAAGTTATTTCGAGGAGAACAAATTTGTCTATTTACCTACCAAGCCACAATTCAAAGGCGACACAGGTTTTATCAATATTCCTTCTTTAGCGCAGGGGAACTCTGTGACACTTCGAATACCAGCAAATCGCACCTGGCTTCGAAAATATAACTGGCTAGGACTTCAAGAGAACTCAGCTCCTTTCGTAGAAAGTTTTAAAATGTATCTTCCTCTCAAAAGGTACGGCAAGAAGAAGAAAACAAGTGTCACAACAAGAACGTCAATTGAGTTGACTTCGATAGCTGGAAGCATGACAAGTGATACTTCAGATGTGGTGTACAGTATACCTCTTGAACACAGCAAATTCTTAACTGTCTATTACCTAGGCTATCGATCCTCGCAATGCTCAGACGGAAACGAGATTCCAAATCCTTACAGTTTATGTAAAAACCTCCCGAATATTTGCGACACGTTTACTAAAAAGCCTCAAGAAAGTTTGATGCCTACAATTCTTTCCACCTGGAAGCTCAGCTACACCGTCGAGTCAGGAAACAGAAAAGTGAAGTGGAAAGCACCAAACCCAGCAACCAACCTCCTCATCAAAGCGAAAGTAAAGCTCCGCCATTATCGCACAGAGAAGAGCGATGTCAAGCTGTTTGAAGATAACCTGGCGTCTGAAGAGGTTTGCTGCAAAGGGAACACATACCAACCAGAATGGTATGATAGCACATGTGTTCCCTGTCCCCAAAAGCCAGATATACCCACTAATTCAAAATCAAAATTGGGTGGATACTACTATGAAAAGGGAAAGGAAAAAGTTGTTGGTAAGTTAGGTCGCTAAGTTTAAGGGTTAAGAGAGGTTTTTAAACCTGAATAAAAATCAAAGCTGTACAATGTATGATTGAAAAAGAACTTTGTTTTTCGAAGAACGTTAACAATCGCAGTTCTTTTTATTGCTACTGTTTTGGTATAGCCGATTGATTCTTAACAAGACCGTAATGACTAAGTGATGCATTGATTGATTGGCGAATTTAATTTAATTGTGTTATGTGATGAGATCAGAGAGAAATTACAGTCTGAAATGAAGAATTACGTTTGGTTGATTGATTTTGGTCAATAAAGAAATAAACTGTATCAATCACAAAATTGTCTTCAGACTTTTTTAATTTAAATACTCTAGGTATTTGATGGTTAACTCATATCTGTCACTCCTACCTATTGATCTTCTTGTGCAAATGATATTTCTTACAGCCCTGGCCGAAAATATATGCTCTAAAGGTGGATAAATCAGCTCTAGCCAGTAGATAACACAATTATTTCCGTAAAACTTATTCGGTGGATAGTGATTTATCGGGTGGATAGCGCTCTCAAATGTTTGATTAAACAACCGGACTCCTCTATGTCTGTCGTTTGTTGGTATCTAACGGCTCCTGATATTGCAACAATTTTTCAAGCCAGGACATATTTTTGGTAAATATTTTTATTGACTCTACGTATTTCCAAGTCTACTGATGCCATCTGAAGTTTACCCGATGGCTTCCGAACCTGAAAAAACGAATTGTGAGGGACACCAGACAATTGTAGCTGAATAATCCAGATCCAGCCAGCGCTGTATAACCACGATTAACCTGGTGGTGATACAAAATAGGCCGTTCGCAAGACGACGTCATTCTACTACTACTGCTACTGCTACTACTACTACCACTACTACTACTTCGGTGAGCACTCGGAAGTCAGCCAAGCGTGGTCATTGCACGTGTGCTGAACAAGAATGCTGTATAATGACAGACTAGAAACAATAGACAACTCCCAAAGCACAAACTCAGCCAAAACGCTAAAAATCTTCAATGTTTACTCAAGTTTGGGCTTATAGAAGATAATTTCACAGTTTTTCAATGGCCGTGAAATTCAGAGTCCGGGTAGTTAGTTAATCAATTGTGGCCCAGAAAAAATTTGAAGGAAAAAAAACTACGAATTTTTAAGAAAATGCTTTTTTCATATAATTTCTATATGTTGACTATGTTTGCTTTGCTCGAAATCGCGCGCATTTACAAGGCCCTAAAGCGTTTTGCTGACTTGCAAGGACCCATCTGTTATAACGATGCCCAAAATAAAGGGATGAATCTCTTGGTTTATTAGATATAATCAGTGTAAAGTTTGCTTATCATTTTCGCATAAATTATGACCTAAATTTGGAAACCGCTGAATTTCTCGAATTGGGTCTTTGCGATTTTGGTGAAACTCTGTTCAGCGCAAGGCACTAATGCGCACTATGTGTAGCTGAGAGATTTTCACAAAAAAATGCCGGCAACAGCCTATTTTCGGCTCAGACCTCAAAGGGGCGTGACATTATAACCACGTGACATTTACTCCGATCGCCAAAAATTTTATGTTATATTGTAGATTGATCTATATGTTATCCATTCTATGTGTTAGACTTACGATAAAAGTAAAGGTGGGGATACCAGAGAGCTTCAAAGTAGGATGGTACCCCCCCAAAAAAACTGGGTCGAGTCACCTTAAGGGTAAAAATATCTGAATTCCGTCGTATGCCCACCCCGAGTGAGACCACATTTTCTTCAAATTCTACCCTGAGGGGTACAGTTTGAACAAAAGGTCTCTACGGTGCATCTGTTTACAGTTTTTCCCCCAATTTTTTTCCGCGATATTTTGTTCAAAATCTTTTGAAGTATCTTTGTAACTCCTGGCTGAATCAAGTTTTCTGTTGGCCACATGTGAAATATACACTTCCTATGAAAGTTATCCTTTTAACACCTCTTTTAAATCATTTATTTGTGTGTTCCGTCCATCTTTGATCAACGAGACGTTTCACCTACGAATAAAATCATTTCATGGTGCTTATGCTAGTTAACAGGTGTGATATGCGTGAAACCAATCTAATCAGTAGGAATTGAAACGCCCACTCTCAAAACACCAGAAGTTAACATTTGCTTTTCTCTTTAATAATGAATATTCACTCAACTCTATGTCCATTTGGTCACTTGACAAATTGAAACTGTAAACATTTTCAGGACAATGAAAAGAAATCGACGCTAGAACAAAACCAAGGAATTGTCATGTTTAACTTATTATGTTTCCATGTAAAATATAAATGCATTATTGCTTTTTATACCAAGAAGAGGGCAGAAGGAGGGTCGTTTCAAAAAATGTAAAAAGATAGTCTGTTTTTAGTCACTCAATTAACGTTTACGAAGAATTGTTTTATTCAAAACAGCCATCTAGATAGAAAGAAAAAAAAGGAAGACAGGATGACATCAATAGCAGCTAATGGCCTTTTCTTTCGCAGAAATATTTACGCCAGAATATAGTATTGCTTTTAGAATTGACGGCACGCATTAACTAAATTTTTAGAACAAAAGACCGTTGCTTTAGCCACGCAAGAAAAAAAAAAGCGAGTAATACTTAAGTCAACAATATAATTATGTTCTGCAACTGCTCTGTACAACGTTAGTATAGTTGGGGTGGTTTGATTGCTTTCTAAAACAAAGTGAACGTTTCTTTGCCCTTAATCTTTTATTAAAGCTCGTAATGTGAATGTTTTATTTTAAAAAACATTATTCCAAAAATTGTATTATTATTAGTAGTAGTTGTCACGGTTTTCATGGAGTGTTTCAAGCCTATGTAGTTTTTTTTCTGTTTCTTTTCCTCCTCCATTCTTTTTCTGCTTTTCCTTCCCATCATTCTGGCAACCTGGGTTTTTCGTTATTGCCATTTTACCAGTCGAGAGTGAAATTGAAAATATATCTAAATAAATAATGATCATCACTATGGCTTAAAAGCCTCATTCAGCTTATGTTAATAGCTCGATTGATATAAAGTTGCCTTCTGGAGTAGAATTTTCTTATTCTTTCGTTTGCTTTAAATATCATTGAACGTTTTTCTTTGACGCCTGTTGCACTCGGCTCTTTTGCGTAGTTCATAATGAAAGCTGTGAGTGTCGCGATTTTGGTCATTTTTCTGTCATCAGCTGCAGTGAATTCTCACCCCTTGTCTTACAAAGGTGAGTACATGCACCATGAAATCTTTCAATGATCCTTCCTTTCCTCCCCAAAAAGCCAATCTACGGTTAACCTGAAGAACAGGTGGTTATTTTTTTTCGTGTTTTTCGGGCAAACGAAGCGGGCGCGAAGTGCATGCGTATGTTACACAAACGATAAACCATTGAAAAGGTACAACAAAACTCCGCGACTAAGAACCGTGATTTTGAGAACCTGTTGGGCTAAAATCCGCCCTCTATATAGGAACCTCTTTCGCTTAAAATTTGAAGCAGGTTCTTATTTTATAAAATTTATGAAATAATTTTGTACACTTGGGCAACATTTCGAATCGTTTTTGGAGACACACGTGCCTTATTACTCCGACAACATTAATGTATTTAGATTTTATATGAAGAATATGTAAGCTGAACCACTAAATACTCTTAGCTATATTTTTTTTTTTTTTTTTTTTGTTTTTTTTTTTTGTTTTCGTTTTTGTTTCACAAAATAGGAACCTGTTTAATAACCTAAATAGCCCGCAGGGCCGTAGCATTGGGAGGGGCCGGGGGACTGTGCCCGTCCCCGCCCCCTTCCCCCCCCAAGTTTTTCGCCCTAAAAAGTCAAAGCACGCACCCATAAAAGTTGAAATTTAAAAACATTCATCTTTTACAGCATTGAAACAATGATGTCTCTGCCGCTAAGTGAAACATTTTCTGATTTTAAGATACAGAGACCAATCCAATGGGTCCTCTGCAACCTTTTGTAACTCGTGGCTGAAATAAGTTTTCTGTTGGCCACATGTGAAATATACACTTCCTATGAAAGTTATCCTCTTAACACCTCTTTTAAATCATTTATTTGGGTGTTCAGTCCATCTTTGATCCACGAGACGTTTCACCTGCGAATATTCGAATGATGAATATTCACTCAACTCTATGTCCACTAGGTCACTTAACAAATTGAAACTCTAAATATTTTCAGGACAATGAAAAGAAATCGATACTGGAACAAAACCAAGAACTTGTCATGTGTAACTTATTATGTTTCCACGTAACCTGATGTAAATGCATCATTGCTTTCTATACCAAGAAGAGGGCGGAAGGAGAGTCGTTTTAACAAATATAAAAAGATAGTCTGTTTTTAGTCACTTTATTGACGTTTACGCAGAATTGTTTTACTCAAAACAGCCATCTTGAAAGAAAAAAAGGAAGACAGGATGACATCAATAGCAGCTAATGGCCTTTTCTCCCGCAGAAATATTTGCGCCAGAATGGTACTGCTTTTAGAATTGACGGCACGAATTAACTAAATTTTTAGAACACAAGACCGTTGCTTTAGCCACGCAAAAGAAAAGGAACACTAGCAATACTAAAGTAAACAATATAATTATGTTCTGTAACTGCTCTATGCGACAATAGTATAGTTGCGATAGTTTGATTGCTTTCTAAAATAAACTGTGACCGTTCTTTTGCCCTTAATTTTTTAAGCTTGTAATTTGAATGTTTCTTTTGAAGAAGTATTATCCCAAAAATTGTATTATTATTTTTGGTAGTTGTCATGGTTTTCATGGAGTGTTTCAATCCGATGTAGTTTTTTTGTTCTGTTTCTTTTCCTCCTCCATTCTTTTTCTTCTTTTCATTCCCATCATTCTGGCAACCTGGGTTTTTCGTTATTGCCATTTTACCAGTCGAGAGTGAAATTGAAAATATATATAAATAAATATTGATCACCACTATGGCTTAAAAGC